TGCAAAACCTTGAGGCCACCAGGGCTCCATAAGAGTTAAAAGAATCCAAAAATGTTTATTCCCAGATCACTTACTCTGAGTCAGGTACTGATTTTTCTTTTGCCCCTCCGCTTTACCAGGCATGCTGTCCTTCCTCAGGGACTGGTCTCTCCTGGAACATGTCCAAAGCATGTGAGACGCATTTTGGATAGATGTTCACTATGGCCTGGAGGAGCTTTCATGGTGGAAAGAATGAACAAGAAGCTCAGAGACAGCCACTGACAGAGACACAGCAGGCCTTACGGGTTCAAGGGAAATCAAATAGGAACAGTATAGAAGAACCCACCCACTGCCCTCAAGTCGCTTCCAACTCATAGCTACGCTATACACAGTTCCCAAGACTGCGAATCTTTTGATGTTGTGGGATAGAAAAAGGCTTTCCCCCAGTTTGTCTCCCTGAATATAGGTCAGACCTAGGACACTGCTTGCAACTAATGGTAAATGATTGTCAAGTTATCTCCCTGAAGACACCAGCCATCCAGAGCAAGCAGACCACTGTCTGGTCCACTGTAGTGGGCTCACTCCCTGCTGTTAAGGACAGTGGATTGCTTTCCCTGGAGAGCTCAGAATAAGTCAAACTTCCAGCTCAAGGACGATCAAGGTTAGGCTGCCATCATGAATCTAGGATCCGCCCATCTTGTCACAAGTGTACCCTAATCCCTCCTCTTCCTATAGCATGTACACCCCCTAGATCATCCCCCGCCTATTGCTGTATGGCCTATGGTACAAGCCCTTCCTGTGACGTAGGTCATTACCTGTAATCAGGAGGCTTGCACACCCCCAAAGATATATATGCCTTGGTTAGAAATAAATCGCTTTCTCCTTCTCTCTCCCCCCTTCCTTACTCCCTCTCCTCCCTCTCTCGCCTCCTCTTGTGGTCCACCTCCATGTGGACACCAAGAGGGGCTGAGGTGAGCATGCTACCATGAAACGTGTCTGACTCCTTTATTTCACTCTCCCTCCTCTCTCTCTTATTCTCTATGGCTTTACTATGATCTTTATACATTATTGCCGCACAATTGCTCCTACGAACCCGTGTTGTCCGGGGCTGGTTACCCTGACATAACTGGAGCAGACAGCCTCATTTTTCTCCCAAAGAGGGACTGGTGGGTTTGATTAGTTGACCTTGCAGTTGCCCAGCATGTAACCCTCAGCACCACCAGGGCTCTGATATACAAACACAGAATTAGAAGCTTTGGATTTGAACAATATCTACATATCAATCTGTGTTAGGCTGGGTTGACTAGAGAAACAAATCCAGCGACACTCTTATATGTGTAAGAAAGAGCTTTATATCAAGAAGTAATTATATAGTAGGAAAACATCCCAGCCCAGTCCAACTCAAGTCCATAAGTCTGGTACTAGTCCATAAGTCCCTCTTCACACTCACGAAGCGACCTGCAATGATGCAGAGTGCAGGAAGATCGATTGGAGCAAAGTCCTGTGGATCCAATGGCGGTGGATGCATCTCCAGGGCTCTGGCAGAAACCAGGGTCAGCCAGCAGGAAGGTGAAGGCAGAGAGAGAAGGCGAGGGTCCCAGGACCCTCCTTGTAAGAAGGCCACGCCCACAAGGAGTCACCATCAGCTGTCACCCGGTTGACGGGCTAAACTTTTCTATATCTTCAAGTTGACATGACGTTAGGTAACTACACACAACCAGGATGCCATGACAGAGTATTGGCTGAGCCGACAAATACAGGGTGGTAGGAAACCTGTGAGGACACACACTGAGATTCTCGGCAGGATGACATGTGGGAGAGTCTCTTTGTGGCGCAAGCCCCTTCGCAACGAGGAAGAGTTGGTTTTTGTTTCCAGTTGTGCTTAAACAGGTTTAGGCTTAGGGTTGAGAACGGACTTCTTGTGGTCATCAGGGGATTTCCTCCATGGATGGATTTTCCTCTGTGGAGGGCAAATTTCACTGTCTTTACTGGTGTGATTTTGAGCGACCCAATAGATAAGTAAAAATGATGAACATTCCCAATGACCTGACCATATATTTTATTTGCTAAGCACTCGGCCGGAGGCTGAAAGGGGTGGGGAGAGGAAAAATCTGGCTCGCAGCGTGACAGTACCGTGACGGGTACTGTCTGCGAAAGCCCACGGGGCAGTTCTGTTCAGTCCTATAGATGTGCTATTAGTTGGCGTTAACTAGCTGGAAGACAACAACACTGTTTTTTGGCCTATGCAATACCGTGCAGTGATACTGATGCTTAGGAATTGCTGCAGTGGCTGAAACAATGGGCTCAAGCATACAATTGTGGGAAGGAAACAGGACTGGGTAGCATTTAGTTTTGTTGCACATGGGTTGCTGCTATGAATTGGAACTGACTCGGCGGTGTCCAACCCCAACCACAACCACAACAACCACATAGATGGACCTTGAAAACATCATGCTGAGCAAGATAAGTCGGTTGCAACAGGACGCGTTCTATGGTCTCACTTAGGCAGACTACACCAATATGTAAACTGAATACTCACCGCCCGAGTCGATGCTGACTCACAGTGACTCTGTAGGACAGGGTAGACCTGTCCCTGCGAGTTTCTGGGACTGTAACTGTCTGTGGGAGTAGAAAGCCTCGTCTTTCCCCCGAGGAGCGGGCGGGGGTTTGGAACTGCCTGCCTTGCGGATCGCAGCCCAACACATAACCACTACACCACCAACACATAGAAAATGCAAATTATTAGTGGTTATTAGGGAAGGGAGGAATGGAGAGTAATTGCTCAGTGGGCACTGAGTCTACGATCACGGTGAGGGATGATTTGGAAAAGGATGGCCCAGCTTGAAGAATGTCATCCAGGCCACTGACTGGGCAGGCAGAAGCTGTTGAAATAGCATATCTTTTGTGCATTTTCATCATGGTACCACAATTTTAAAATATTGAAAAAAAAAAGAAATTTACCGTAGTCCATCGTATGCAGTGATCTGTTTTGCTGTCATCTAAAAGGTAGTTTCTTCCCTGGTACTACTGGGTGGGTTTGAAGTCAGCATTTCAGCTTAGTAGTTTAGTGAACCCTATTTCCACTCCCTAGGCAACCACGGATCTACTTCAAGCCCCTTTCAATTTGCCAACGCTGGCTCTATTCATGGAAACAAACAAGAGGAAGCCCTTTGCGCTGGGCTTCTTTCATTTAAATTGTGGACATGTAGGACTTAGGGGGAAAACGTTTTGATCAAAGAGGGGTGATGTACCCAAATATCTCACTACCATGCCTGAAAGACAGGACGTCTTGATAACCATGAAGCAGTAGCCACTGGTCTTTTAAAAGTTGATATCGATATATGTTAAATTGTAGTAAGTATGCACAACAAAACATTTAGTGTCAACATTTTATTCTTTCTTTAGGGCTCTGCCTGGGGCAAGAGATAGGAGCGCAGCAAGGTGAGATGTTCTCCCACAGTCTCTGGATCTCTCTTCTAGAGAGGTGGGGGGTTGCTGTTTGGAGGCGCGAGGCTGGAAAGGCCCTGACCACTAGCGCTGCTTCCCTTTCAGCACCCCTCGAGAAGCCCTCCTTACGAGCCTACCCCAGTGCCCTGGTACCTCTGCGGAAGTCGGTGAAGCTCCTATGCCAGGGCCCTCTGCATGTGGACTTGTACCGCCTGGAAAAGCTAAAACCCAGGGAGTATCAGGACCGGGACACCCTCTTCATCTCAGTCATGGAAGAGCGCTTCGCTGGGCAGTACCGCTGCTCCTATCAGAACGGGAGCCTCTGGTCTCCGCCCAGTGACCTGCTGGATCTGGTTGCTGTCGGTAACTGGGCATGGGGAGGCTGTGCCTCTAGTCTCAGGGCTGCATGATGCTTCTCTCTGGGTTCCAAGTGGGTGACAATGGGGATGTGGGTGACAGTAAATCTGAAGGGCGGGCACTAGGGAGAGGCAAGAGAGACCCTTGCCTTGGGCACCAAAAATCTAAGAGGGCACCAAGAAGGTGTTGCTGTTGTTAATGACCAGCCAGCTGGCTCTGGATGTCCTTAATTACTATCTGGTCCATACACCTCATTGGCTGTTCATCCACCTCATTGAAGGCTTCCCTCATTTGGCTTGCCATCCTGCACGGCGCCCTAGAGGGTCAGAGGAGAAGGAGAGAATGCGGTGGATTGGCTGAGTACACGACTGGGCATCTGAAAGCTCACGGCCTGGAGAAGGCCATGGACCAGTTCTACTTGGCACTCACGGGGTTATCATGAATTGGAATCAGCCCCACGATGACTGACAACATCTTTCTTTAAACAAATTGGAGGCTCATACAATTCATATCACAATCATCTATCCATTGTGTCAAGCACGTTTGTACATATGTTGCCCTCATCATTCTCAGAACCTTTTCTTTATACTAGAGCCCTGTTTCCCCTCCCTCCCCACCCGCCAACTAACAACGTTTTTCAAACAAGGCTTAGAACTTGCACAAATCTTCTCACTCACTCACTCACTCACTCACTCACTCACTCACTCAACTCCACTCATTCATTCCATTCACTCACTCACTCACTCACTCCACTCACTCACCCATTCACTCCACTCACACATGCTCACTCCACTCACTCACTCACTCACTCACTCACTCTATTCATTCCACTCACTCACTCACTCACTCACTCATTCACTCACTCACTCACTCCACTCACTCACTCATTCACTCCACTCACTCACTCACTCACTCCAACTCACTCACTCATTTACTCCACTCACTCACTCACTCACTCACTCAACTCACTCACCCCTTCACTCCACTCACACATGCTCACTCCACTCACTCACTCACTCCACTCATCACTCACTCACTCACTCCACTCACTCAACTCACTCACCCATTCACTCCACTCACTCACTCCACTCGCACACGCTCACTCCATTCATCACTCACTTCACTCACTCACTCACTCACTCACTCACTCACTCACTCATTCACTCCATGCACTCACTCACTCACTCCATTCACTCCACTCACTCACTCACTCACTCACTCCACTCACACATGCTCACTCCATTCACTCTACTCACTCCACTCACTCACTCACTCACTCACTCACTCACTCACTCACTCTCACTGCCCTTGAATCAATTCCATCTCATATCGATCTCATAGGACAGAGTAGAGATGGCCCCATGGGTTTCTGAGACCTTAACTGTTTTTGGGAGGAGAAAACCTGCTCTTTCTCCTGGGAATCAACTGGTGGGTTCTTCCTGCTGACCTTGTGGTTAGCTGCTCAATATGTAACCATGCCACCGAGGATCCTAACGTAGTTTCCAAGGGCATCCACTTTGATCTAGAACAAGATATTGTCAGAAGGGTCCCCAGATCCAGGACTCATGGGGGCCCTTCCTACAACCAATGAGACGCCGCCGGACACCTTCCTTTAACACCAGAATTCTCTTTCAGGGGTTTTCTCTCCACCCACACTCTCCGCCTGGCCCAGCACAGCAGTGTCCCCAGGACAGGATGTGACCCTGCAGTGTAAGACAAACTTTGGCTTTGATCAATTTGCTCTGTACAAGGAAGGAGATATGGGACCCTCTAAGAGCCTTGAGACGTGGCACCCTGCCAATTTCCCCATCGTCACCGTGACCCCTGGCAACAGTGGAATTTACCGGTGCTACAGCTTTTCCAGCTCTGCCCCGTACCTGTGGTCACACCCCAGCGACCCCCTGAAGCTCGTGGTCACAGGTAAGGGGAGGGTGTCAACTACCTTCCTTTCTTTCTCACTCGATCCGTGAAGCATATATATATATATTTTCATTTATAGCATAGTTTTCCCTCGAGTATTTGTACAGGGTAGACTTCTGTTTCACTCCTGCCTTCCCTGAATCATAACTGTTGCAGATAGGAACTGAGAAAGTCCTCACGTCTAGGGTGCCCGTGACAGTAAGTGATTCTCCTTCATGTTCACCAGCAGAGTGGCAAAGACACACCCCGAGAATGCCACTGCCGTTGAGGTGTTGCTCTCTCGTAGCAAAACCTGCCGAGCCGACTGCGAGATTGAAAGGCTTACTATCGATTTTGGACCTGCTTTATGCTCTTTGGTAACAAAAAGGTTGATTTCTAGAATCTCTCCATTCACTGTTCACGAAATAAACGTATTCTCCAAAGCTTCCCTGTTCCTCTTATCTACCAGTGTGCGCGGGGTGGTTTATAAAGGGTTATAAAGGTTGAAGAAAAAAAGTTGAGTTCTCCCTCCTAATTCACAATAAAAGTATTGCATTTTTTTTTAAAAGGAAATGAAAAATTTACTTTTTTTTTTTTTAGTAAAAAACATATTTTTTAGTCTAACAATATGAAAGAGTCTGATGCTGGGCCATCTCTTATACATAAGACAAGGTGAGAAGGAAGGGTCAAGATATGACACAAACTTGCTGCTGTTGTTGTTGTTGCGTACCATGGGGCCACAGCGACACAGCAGGAGGAAACACCACCCGGCCCTGCGCCATCCTCACCACTGTCCCCAGGCTTGAGCCTGTGGCTGCAGCCGCTGTGTCCACCCATCTTGTCAAGGGCCTTCCTCTCTCTCGCTGCCCCTCCACTTGGCCAAGCATGATGGCCTTCTCCAGGGACTGGTCTGTCCTGATGACACGCCAAAGTCTGTCAGACAAAGTCTTGCCATCCTGGCCTCTCAGGAACACTCTGGCCATACTTCTTCCAAGCCAGCTTTTTTATTTTAACTACATAGAAATTTGACTTGATGAACATGGTTAGAAACAGATCGATGCTCCACAAAGACAAGGATATTTTTCATGAGGCCTTGGATCTTGGCACATCAGGCCCTATCAAGAAATGTATTGGAGGTGCTTGTTCTTGGCATCTAAGGACAGCCAGAATTCCATCCCTTCTCTCACTATTCTGAAAGGCTCCTTTCAATTCTCAAAGGTGTGTGTGTGTGTGTGTGTGTGTGTGTGTGTGTGCAGTCACTAAACAAGAACAAAAGAGACTTCAGACCAGAGACGTCATCGCTGGCATAGCACCTTGGCAGGCAGAGCACATGTGTGTTGGGAAGAGCACCGAGGACCACATTGCAGCTGAATCAAATCAGCACAAATACTGGGCTTAGACTCACACAGACTTATCATCCTGTCGTGCTGAAGGTCAGATGGTTGGCGTGGGTCTTAAAAACCTGAGCAAACCCATTGCCACGGTGTTGATGCTGCTTCATGGCAACCCCCAGGGCCCAGGGAGAATTGTCCCGTAGGGTTTCCAAGGCTGTAAACCTTTCTGGAAGCAAACGGCCTCATCTTTGTGCCACAGTGTTTGTTCAGTTCGAACCACTGACGTGTTTTGGCTAGCAGTCAAGGCCATGACCACTGCACTACTAGGGCTCCTTGGTGGGTGTCTACTGAGGTAAAATCAACATGTTGGTAGGTTGTAGATGAGTGTCCACTTCTTGTCCTTTCTGGCTTCTATAGGCTGCCTAAGGAGTCCTGGTGGTGTAGCAGGGTACCAGATGGGTTGCTAATTGCAAGGTCAGCAGTTCGAACCCACCAGGTGCTCTGTGGGAGCAGGATGAGGCCTTCTGTTACTGTAAAGACTCATAGTCTCCGAAACCCAAAGGAGAAGCTCAAGTCTGTCTTCTGAGAGCACGATGAGTCAGATTCAGCTTGGTGTTTTTGTTTTCAAAGAGGCTGCCTGCTTTCCTCGGTTCCCAGCCCATTCTTGTATCCTGTACTGGAAACGTAGCATCTTCAAGTCTCTCCTGGACTCTGGCATTCCTGTCTCCATCTGCTAAGGACCCTTATTACATTGGACCTGGATGAACAACCCAGGATCATCTCCCTCTCTGAAAGCCCTTCACGGCAGCCCATCCCCACGAGGACAGGAACCTCTAGGTTGTTGTTGGGTGCTTTTGAGGAAGTACTGACCGACAGCGACCTTCTGTACAACAGAACGGAATGCTGCCCAGTCCCGTACCACCCGCGCAGTCCTTGCTGCGCTTGAGCCCACTGTTGCAGGCACCGTGTTAATCCATCTCATCACAGGCATTCTTTGTTTTTGTTTTACCAAACATGACGTCTTCTCCAGAGACTGGTCCCTCCTGATGAAATATCCCAAACACACGAAAGCCTTGCCCTCCTTGCCAGCACTTCTTTTTTTGTTTTTTAAATCAATTTATTGGGGCTCATAAAATTCATCACAACACATAGATCAATTGTGTAAAGCACATGTATACATTTGTTGCCCTCATCATTCCCAAAATTCGCTTGCCTCTGCCATCACTTCTAATGAGCTTTCTGGCTGTGCTTCTTCCAACACAGATTCGTTCTTTTGTCTGAACATCTATGAGGGGCGTTTTTTGTTTTTGTATCTACCATAGGGATATGCTCTAAGGGAAAACAATATCCTCGTGCCACGAAGACAGCATCGTTCTTGTTGGGGTTTCAAAACAATGAACAAGCAAACAGCAATAGCAACAATGATAAAGTCACAGAATTTAGTTTCCAAGAAATGCTACCATTGTGGGAAGAAAGCCTCACTGCCACCAAGTCGATTCCAACTCATAGTGACCCTGTGGCTCAAACGCTACAACAATTCTGAGGACGGTGCTGTCAGGGTGTGTGTGGGGCGTGTCTCCAACACTTGAATGGACAGGACGATGTTCTGTTTGTTGAGCATAAGGTTGCTATGAATTGGAACCGTCTCAAGGGTACCTAACAACAACACACCGTCAAACATTTAGAGGCTTAATTTTCAGAAGCCAATGACAAGGTACAAAAGGTATTGCTGTTAAATCCCTTAGATCCCTGGATGCAGTTTAAAAATCATTGATGTGACATGCCAACCAGTGTTCTATTATTTATACATGTTCACTTGTGCTTGAAGCAGCGACATTGCTTGAACTGTCTCACTATAGAGAGGATGGGCAATTCCGTTAGCAATGGGAGAATATTTATCTTCCTTCTCAAGAGTGGATTAAAAATGACCACAGGATAAAATTAAAAAAAAAAGTATTTCATTCCGATTTAGCTAGGGTTGGTCATTATTAACTTTAGACTGTGTCCCATTCTTTTTTTCTTGTTGTTGACAGCTTTATTACAGCAAAATGGATATGCCTGATGGTCAACCGTTTCAAGTGTCTCATTCAATGCTTCTAAGAAAGTCTAAAGAATTGTACATTCATCACCACAATCCAATTTTAGCACATTTTCCATGAGCCAGAAAGATCTCTTGTGTCCATTTGCAGCCACTTCCAGTTCCTGATGTATTTCCTGTCTCTGTAGATTTTCCCTTTTCCAGACATTCCACATACAGGGAATCATTTAGACTTTTGTGCCTGGCTTCTTTGGACAGGGGAAGAGTAGCTTTGGGTGGCTGTACAGCCAGTGTGGCTGGAGAGCGATGGGCGACGGGCAAGGGCAGGGATTCCCTCACATGTGATAGCTGCCCTTTCCACCAACTTATCCCATGACTTCTGTCCACCCCCCTTCCACCCCTCCATTGATTCCTCAGAAGATAAGAAGCTGGTTTTGCTCTCAGGGACAAAGTGAGGCTATCGAGAGGTATCCACAAGGAGGGTGTGTTAGTCTGGGTTGACTAGAGAAGTCCATAGACACTCATGCCTATAAGAAAGAGCTTTATATCAAAGAGTAATTGTACATTAAGAGAACATCCCAGCCCAGTCCAGATCAAGTCCATAAGTCTGATATTGCCCCATATGCCAATCCTAGTCCATAAATTCCTCTTTAGACTCATGCAGCTATGCAATGATGCTGAATGCAGGAAGATCACAGGCCAGTGGGTGGAAAGTCTTGTGGATCCACTGGTGGTGGAAGCATCTCAGCACTGG